ACAGCGACAGTGTTAAAATCTAACAACTTATTGGGGTGGGGGGAGGGAGAGATCAATAACCTAGTCATTCTGCATCTATCCCAGAAATATGGAAACTTCAAGTACCCTTGTCATCACATAGAAGGAGACAGAAAATTAGGAATATATAAAGTCTGTGTCAAAGTTGTGGATTTGGTTACTTCATATGAATATCGACAATAAATTGTGTCCAAGATGTACCTTATCCAGTAAATGATACACAAGGCTTACTGCATACAAGACTGAATACTCAAGGCAGATACAAGTAACTCATTTTGTTCAAATAGTGACTATCCTAAGGTTCAAATGAATGAGGGTTTAAAAAGCACAACTTTGATCAGATGAAGGCTATATATATGTCCATGGGGTTCCTACTGGAAGATAGGGATTCCGTAGCACGTCAGCATTTCACTCCCTTCTCTGAAGTCTTCAAAACCTGGCTCCACCACTGCCCATAACCTTTCATTTCTTTCTCACACTATCTCCTCCATGTTACCCTTACCTCGGACGCCTAACTCGTCATTTCGCATGCGGGTTCTACTCGACCACCTAACGCAGGATGTCCAATCCATCTCTACCCTGTTCTTCTGCATATTTGTTGGGTGACTGGTTCTTGCTTCGTTAGTTGGTTAGTTATGAGACCAGCTAGAGATCCTCATTGTTTATTTTTTCTAGTCTTCTCATCTGATCTACAGTATGGATAACATTAGGCTAAACAAGGAGTAGGTATGCACGAGTATGTGACAAATTTCACATAGCTATAGTTTGATCTTTAAACATCAAGGACTAGCTTCACATTCATCTGTATTGGCTTCAGTGTACTTTCCTGTATGTGTATGATGGCCACTGGACCTGCTACAGTTACTTATGATAGTTTTCATTGTTGTATCTGTCTATGGTATACACCTGTGGTTCTTTCCAGTAGCATTTGAAGTCTATAAAATAATTCAGAAGTAATGTAGGAACCTCTGTTAGTGAAGTTTTTATGCTTCTAGCAAATGGTAACCTGTCTGAATTGTGTGATTTCACCGATTCACTTCTAATCCTAATCATTAAAGTCGGCTTCAATTCTCCATATAGTTACCAGCTGTTGAATGTTCAATTCTTGGTTTTATTGTGTTCTCTGGGGAGCTGGATTGTTTAATTAGGGAGCTTCATCATCTTTCTCCTAGACGACATCATCAACACTAAGTTCAGCCTGAAGTGAGTTGTCAGTATCTCTCCATGAGTGATTCAGCCGCTCCGTCTGACCAACTGGTTTCTGATTGGTTGTTTCCTTTGATTGTTACGTCATTGACTGACTGCATCGATTTTCCTGTTGGCTAGCTGTTCCTCTGCTTAACCGCTCACCTTTCTATCGTTCATCATTTTTCTCAGTGGTTGATAGATTGGGTCTATGTCTATAACTGACCTGAATGCCAGGCTTCTAGGAATTCTCTGGTGATATTCTTTGTCATTCCTCTCTCCGTCGAGAATTTCTACCTTGTCAAAATTGAATTCATCTACAGAGTTGTTATCCATGTGGATTGACCGACGAGTGGTGAAATGTCGTGTGTGATGTTTAATAGCTAATTGGTGTTCATGTAGAGGAAGGCGGTGGGGAGACCACTCTCTCCAATGTGGTGTGTTGACTACAGTTATTCCAGTTGATTTTGTAAATGATATTCGGTTTGTCTTTTTTGGCTGTTGCATCCTTTGGTCTGGATAATGTGCTTTGAAGGGGATTTGTTCCTTTATGAGTGGGCACACGAATTCCAGCAAGTGGTCTCAGTAATCTTGTTATGATTTCTGATACATCTTCTGTATATATGGTAGGATGATGCGTTTATTGATTTCTGTCGATGACTTTGTAGTCGATGATGTAGGGGATAGGCATCTTCTGATAAAGATTGGTGGGTAGCCGTTCTTCTTTAGGATGGACATCAAGGAATTTCCTTCATTTCTCTCTGAAGTTCTTGTACATTACGGTGTGTTCTCACTATTTTGAATGGGATCTGCACGCAACTAATTTTGTGTGTTGTTGGGTTGTTGCTATTGTAGTTGAGGGTTTGCTCAGTCAATGTGTGTTGGCTTCCAGTACACTTGGGTTTCCAGCTTTCCGGCATTTTCCCTAGTGACTAAAACATTCAGGAATGGTAGTTGGTAGTTGTTCGACTCCTTCTTCATTGTGAATTTGATGTCATTCATGAAACGTTGTTGAACAAACTGTGAGTGTTCTCTATATCATCTTTTTTTTAAATGATTACTGAAGTGTCCTCCATATAGCGAATCCAAATTTTTGATTTAATCCCAAGTAGGATGATGACTTCCAGTCTCTGCATCATTGCTTCTGCGATTAATCGGGATATCGGTGATCCTATTGGAGTTCCTCTCATCTGTTTGTATATCTTGCCATTGAATTAGAAGTCTGTTGTCAGACAAACGTCGATGAGCTCCATCAGACTTGAATATATATAAGTTCAATTCATACACAGATGATCAATCACTCCGGTTCATTCTCACAATCGAGTACAACATTATCTGGATACATTTCAATAATTTAATATATATGTACATATAAAAAGTAGATAATCAATTTTATGCACTGACAATGAGATTATATAATCAATAATTGATATCAGTTAACATACGATTAATTTCTGATCATAGAGAGATGGATGAAGGATCAATCGAAAGGTCTTCAGTAGACAGATAGACAGTATCAACGTAGATTCTAGTACATAGTTGAATCACTTCAAGTTTCGATACTTCAAAGGACTAAACAAGTAATACATCAATAGAAAAAGCGTTAAAGGCTAGAAAATCTGAAGATTAAGATGTTTATGCAAACATCTCAAGCTTTTCTTAACCCTTTAATAAGTCAGTACATCTCCACCGTTGTCGTTGATTCTCAGCTATATCACCAAGACTCCTTAACCAATACTGATTCCCCATCCAAGTCATCTGCTTCTCCCTACACTACTCCAATCAACAATCTAAGAAAGCAGTTGAGCAATCAGTTATGTAACACATTCAAACTTTTGACAACTACCACCTTGTTGATTATTTATTTGTGAATTACATTGGAGGTCAGCAATTATCTTCAAAGTTGTATGAAACCGACTTAACAACAAACTTGTCTGTATTGGTACAGTTGACAGCAGTGAGTCATACACCTGTTTTGTGTGTGGAGGCGGGGGGGGACTAATGATGCTACTCTCTAGTTGCCTAAACCTTGCCAGATGGGTCTAGGTTCGAACCCCGCCACCCAATGGTTGAAAGTCAAGTACCTTGACCTATATACCAAAGTTCCACTTTTAAAAAAATTAGCTTGTCAATGATATATGTGAAGATTTTAAAACAATGTTAGTTCGCTTTATAGACATTGACAAGATGTAAATATTGTCAATGGTATAATGGTGTATTTGCATAACACATTTGGTACGACCTAATCATACACACACACACACATACACGTACTTACTTATCATAGGTATTTGTATGAAAACCCCGTAAACAGATAAGAAGTGAGAATATAAAAAGAGGTCAAGTAGGAAGGTTAGAATAACAATGAAGACCATTAGGACAAAAAAACTTCAATAAATTTTAGGATCCATTCTCAACATGTTTTGTAAATAGGTCTAAAGGAATCTTGTGACCGATAGAACAACTTAACAGTCTACAAGCGATATGAACCTACCACCAATGGACGAAAACAAGAAGAGAAGACAGATCGTTCATAGACAGCCGCCAATGTCTGAATAACAGTCAATACAGTTGACAGTAATGCTGAATATATACATTTTTAAATGACCTTGAGAACACTTAATCCATATTTAGGTTGAAAGAAATAACAACCAATGAGAAATGAGTCTGGAGAGGAGAGGGGGAAGAAAAACTAGTAATCATGTGAAAACAAACATGATAGGCTATTTCGAAGTCATGAGCAGACTAGCAGGCAGAAGCTATGCAAAATTAGGGGGATTATAGCCAGAAAGTGGCAAGGTTCATCCCTGTGATTTATCTCCACGATATATTTCATGGTGGAAGAACTTATACGTATGTTATCAACATCTATGGGTTCAGGTGATTGAACGACTTAATTCTATAGCCATTTTGGAATATGTTTTGAGGTTCTTACTCGTATGGATCTATGAGTACATGTGTCACCACATGTACATTTGAATTGGTAGATACAGTAGAATGTGACATTGTCGTTCACATGCTGTACGGGGTTTAGGAGAATATACTGGCTTGATAATTTCTATCCGTCAAACATTAGTTGCATAGTAAATCCTTTTAATAGTATAATTGTTTTTTTATATCATACCGTCGTTGATTGGTCTGTATTGGTATATGGGATCCTGTGCGGATGCCTCTAAATTACTGGTGCTCTAATGGTAACAATGAGGGATAGTGGCTAACAGTGGGATCCAGGATGTATATCTCCTCCTATTTGGGACTCGTCAGGTGGATGTAACTGCTTACCACTGAATGATATTATTCCCACCGGGATTCGGACTCAGGAGCGATCGCTCCAAACGCCAGAGCGTTATCCACTGCACCACCGAGCCACGATAGCGATCCTGGATTTCACTGCCAGCCACTATCCATCATTACTATACATAGTTAAGAACACAGGCAATATCTAGGCATTCGCACAGGATCCCATATGCCAATAGAGACTGTTCAATTCGGTTCATTCAACGATGGTATAATACAACCAGTAACACTGAAACGATAATCGTGACACAAAAAGCGGCTATCGGGGCTCGCTGATGTAGTGCGTAATGCTGTGGTGTTTGAAGCGATCACTCCTGAGTGTGAATCCCGATGAGGATAACATCACTCATCGGGAAGCAGGTGCATCCAGCTGACGAATCTTGAATGGGACGAAACGCTTTTCCTGGATTCCACTGTTAGCCACTATCCACCAATCCTCTTAGCAGTTCACATTACTGAATTTTTAATAAACTTTGTTTATTTTTTTCACATTGTAACAGCAGCCAACAGATGAAGATCCTGATGAAGGAGTTAGAGAATTAGTTGAAATCGCTTTTAAACGATTGGTAAGTATAAAAATTCCCCAGTTTCTATTTTATAAATCTTAATGTTACCCCCATTACTTTTTTATTCTTTTCTTATGACTATTGTCATAATCTACTTGATAGTTGATAACAATGGAAATCAGAAAAGCATTTCGTCCCTATTGAGGATTTATCAGATTTCATCTCTAAGCAAATTACAGTAATTAGACAATATCAAGGCGTTTATTTGCATAGGTACCCATCAGGTAACACACACTGAAAATATACTTGCAGTATATCAGTGAGAAATAAATTTGGCAGTATGCCAAATAATGTTTTAGTCTGCTGTAGAACTGAGGAACGACAGGTCCATTCAATTTTATTCACCATTTGTTTGTTTTTTTCCATTTTAAAGAGTTTTTTCAAGGTTTTATTGATCTGATTGTCTGATTACACTGAAGTTAATCCTGATGATGTAATCTCTGTTTAGAAAGAGAATGAAAACTTCACGATTAAACAACTCAGCTACTTAGAGAACACAATACAATCAAGATACTTACTACCAAATAACTTTTTTTATATTTATCCAAAGTTTCAGTAATCCCTAAAGGGATAGGTTTACTCCATTGATTAATCAGTTCACTTACTTTTGTTGTGGCTTTGATTCCATTTTCTAAAACTTTTCAGTTAGGTTAGTTCTATAAGGAAGAAAGAATGAAGAACACTTCACCGCTGAATCTTGGAACATTCAATCAATCATCACTTAGTAAAGTTTAGAAAACAATTTTAATTAGCTAAATTTTCTAGTCAAAAGAAATTTGGCAATGAATATAACTAATTACCCTTAAAATTGCCTCTATCACATCTCTTCATACAACCATCATATTCTTCAACCATTGAAATACTAATTCCTTATTACATACATTGATTCATTCAACTTCAATTGTGTTAAATTTTCTTCTCATCACTATCTCAAACGTTACATAATTCTTTCTACGTATCTCACACACACATACACACATCACTGCCAGTTAAGTCCTATAGGTGTTACTATATCCACATTCTCTGGAAATTTAGTTAAACAATAGGAAACCGACCAGTATCAGTACTCCCCCCCCTCCCCAGTTGTTGCATAGTCAGACAGCAACAATGAAGTTTTAAGAAGAATCATTATATCAAGGAATATAATATTTCTAACAGGGGGAGTTTATTGACTAAAAGTTATCAACTACATGAATAAAACGGACCGCCTAAAGGTACCCCCTATAAAATGTTTCAGTAAAATTTAAACTACTCACAACCAATTTAAGTAACACAAATAAGTTATGTGAAAAATATTCTAATTATATAATTTATTCATCAACTTAAGATAATTTTTAATTGTTTTAGGATATGGATCATGATGGAAGATTGAATTATACAGATTTTCAACAAGCTGTTGAAGATAATGCTTTATTGTTGGAAATCTTAGGTCAATGCTTCCCAGATGAAGAGGTAAGTTACACTATACACTAACTGACTGAATGAATGATACAAATTTCGATGTGAAGACGTCAGATCTTCGTTTATCTGAACTGTTGAAGAGTCCCATACTAGAATGAAACAGGTGTCCAGTATTCCTAGATTTCCAAATATTCCTCCAAGATAATGTCAATCCTAGAATTACAAACATCCCAGCAATCTCCCTAGACAATTGGATGGAGTGAAGTGGTGGAATGTCTTGATCACTTCACTTATCTAGTTGTTGACAAAATCTCACCTTGGATACAGAAGCCTCGTTTAGTGCTTGCCAACTTACACCATCTCTGATACCGATAGGATATATCCCAATACCTAACACCCTCCCCCCCCCTCAACATGCCTCATACCAACAGTTAGGGAGTTCGTCAACTAGTGCCACGTCTTCGTTTGATCACCCTGAACCCTTTTCCAACGTAGTCAAGCTTCTCACATCGAGGTAGGTAGTGACTGGACATCCACACCACCTGTCCAAGACACCTCCGTCGATAAACATTCACAACCTGATCAGTCGACCAGCCTGTCTTCTTATCTCCTACTTTCAGTGGCCGTGTCTCACAGACGTGTAAAAACACAGAACAGACTGCAGAACAATAGACTCATTCTTTGATAGATAGTCAGATATCTCGCCAATCGGTGCCATAGATGATATAAGTTAGGAAATACTAAACGAACCTTGTCTATCTCAACTAGACTACTCAAGGTGACGTATTCAGTAGACTCTGCAATTTCTTGACCTTTTCATATAACAGGACAATGTTGTCTGCGTACTCCAAGTCAATCATATCCCCCTCCTTTCAATTCAGAGATATCTAAGGTTATATCTATGACGAAGTTGAATAGAAATATTGACAGGGGGATCACTGACGGACACCATTAGTTGTCATCAATTCAGATAATAAAATTTCACTCACTCACCCATCCTCCACCCCATCTATACCTTCACATTAACAGAGAATAAAGAAATTGAACATGAAGACAATACTGATGGAAAGTTTATCGATTTGAGGTAGATTTCTAGAAGTTTAAATAAGAATCCATAATGTAAATCAATAACTTAGACAAAATGATGAGAAAACATACAATCTATCATCTGTCTATTTCTAAATCCTCAGGTAATTTATTCCAATGTAATAGATGATGACAACGAGTATGTAACCCTATAATATGTCAAGTTTCATCAATTGACTCATCTCCATATTTAACATCTGTGTCACTATACTGTATTGAGTTTCATCAGCTACAAAGACAATGGTAGTCAGATATCTGAAACTGTCTCAATCATTCCGTCTATAATGTGACGGTGTTTAATTACTTTTCTAGTAGGATACACAGAAATACTGAAGAGTAAATACAGTGCGGTTAGTACATGATCGGATATCATACCCACAATGTAACAAGAATGAGCCCATTTTATTTCATGGCATTTCAAAAACTCCACCACCACCACCACCACCTGCCCTGTCGTGTATCATGAACTAGCAGACCATTGGCTTTTGACACACTTCCTCAGTGGTAACATGTTAATGACGAAAACTGTAGATTTTTAGTTCAATCCATGACGGGGTAAGGTCATAGGTGCAAAACACCTGTCCAATACTCTTACGTATATGACATATTACCATGTCAACTGAATATGGTACTCTAGATTGAAAAATATCCTCAAAGATAAAATTACACTGAAAATTACTAATTTCATACACTGTTTGAAACGGAATCAATGACAACTAACGTCAGTGACGCTACATACAGCTGACATAACAACATGCCGAATACCGGTAGGGAAGTCAGATGTTCAGAGTTTCAAATCAAGGAGGTTATATATATCTGAAACATTGTGGTTGGTAGTTGATAGGAAGCAGCTAAAAACGAAATCAACATTCTAAGTCATTAGCCAATCAGATAGAAGTATGGAATTGAGACCTTTATTTCATGTTACTGTGTGGTCAAGAAATACTTCTGGCTGACGAATCAGAATAAGTATCCAACTTTTAACTTTGTGGCTTTATTTTCTGAGGAAAAACTGTATTTAAATGATGCGCTTTTTATCAACTGACCAGTCTTCTTTGCAGTTATCGGCCAGTCTTTGTCTAGTGACATGAAGTATCCGGTCTGAGGGACAGCAGTCGTTATTCATATCCAGTTCAAGAGTCTTATTGCCTTAGTAGTCAGTAACTTCAATAGTAGGCCATAACCTCATCGTCAGTGACTTCAGGGATTTCGACCTTCTCTGGGGTGGAGTCGAGACAGATGCTATCATATCATGCGTAATACATATGTCAATCAGTTCAGTGAGTACAACCTCTATAGAATTCATATACCCAAGGGAATATGAACCCCCCTATACATCACGTATTCTAAGTAGATATGTTATCTCTAATCCACTTCAACTAGACAACATAAAATTGATCAATATCATCCACCTTGCTTGATCACTTCTTACAACTAACTATAGACAGTAGAGTAAAATGAATCAGTCAGTTTGTTGTATATTCAACAACTTGGATACTAAGTAATTAGAATGTTGGTTGAACATTATTCAATTGATTTTCAAGTTGATATTCAACTCATATCATTGTATGATGAATATTGACCTGAAATCGATAAATAAATATTTACAAACTTCCCCACCCTCTTTAAATTAAAATTGATCTAATATGCATTGGGTAGAGAAGATAGAGGTGATGAAGATACCCAACCAACACCACCAACAACAACAAGCACCAACCACCATCAGAAGGGGAAACTTAAAGGAACCTGTCTCTTTCACCTACTCACATTCACAACATCCTTTCAACTACAGGCAGCACAGATGAGGACGTCAAAACCAGCAAGGATTGGAAAGACAGAAAGACAGACCTTGGTGCATTAACCTGAAATCAGTGTGGAGATCTATGCACTGCACTCCACTCCACTCCACTCCACTCAGCATAAAGCGTAAACAACATCCAGATTTTCAACACCAATCCAGTCGAGTAAGTCACTGCTTCTATGTGATGGTTGAGAGACATGGAGCGTTACAACAATATTTCCAACAAACTACAGATATTCATGAACAACTGCCATCTACTCTGGTTCCTTACTGAAGATCAGTTGGCCAGAATAACAAGAATAAGCAAGGAGGAACTCTGGCTGGCTGGCTGGCTGGCTGGCTGGCTGGCTGGCTGGCTGGCTGGCTGGCTGGCTGGCTGGCTGGCTGGCTGGCTGGCTGGCTGGCTGGCTGGCTGGCTGGCTGGCTGGCTGGCTGGCTGGCTGGCTGGCTGGCTGGCTGGCTGGCTGGCTGGCTGGCTGGCTGGCTGGCTGGCTGGCTGGCTGGCTGGCTGGCTGGCTGGCTGGCTGGCTGGCTGGCTGGCTGGCTGGCTGGCTGGCTGGCTGGCTGGCTGGCTGGCTGGCTGGCTGGCTGGCTGGCTGGCTGGCTGGCTGGCTGGCTGTATTGGGGACGAACCAACGAAGCAAGAACCGATCAGCCAATAAATATGCACTGGAAGGAAGTGGAGATGGATTGCATTGGATTGGGCATACACTGAGAAGACGATTCGGGGACATCACGCGTCAGGCCAGGCACTCGAGTGGAATCGAGAGGGGAAACGATGAGTTGGTCATCTGAGGTGAGGTTGACATAGAGAAGATGATGTGAGGAAGAAATGAGAGGTTGTGGACAGTGGTGGAGTCAGGTTCAGAAGTTTGCAGAGAAGAGAGTGTAATGGAGACGTGCTACTGAAGCCGTTATTCCACTAGGAATCTAAGGGACAAATCATAATAAAATACGCATTGGTGATTACCTTCTACAGAGGATTCCTGAAGTTCCAAGCAGAAATCGTTACCAGTAGGGTAAACCTGGTAAACATGCTGACAAATAACCAACTATGATTACACTACATCGTGAACTAACAGAAGTTAAACATACAATGACTTAATGATAAGGTGCTGACCACGGAATCTAAAGGTCGCGGGTTCGAACTCTGGTGGACGGGGTCATGAATGATCACAGCTAAACAGTCTCATACAAGTTGGACAAAACAGTAGCTGTTTAGTGTTTTCAACTGCTTAATATTCTTTCAACTCATATCAATCCATAATGAATATTATACTTTGATATAAAAAGTATTAACTTTAGACGGGGTTGTTTTTTTCTCTCATTATTTCCTTCCTTCACCTATCTCTATATGTTTAACAGGTTGCTACAGCGTTTCTGTCAACATTTCAAGAAATTCAAGTACCACAATCTGTTTGTTATATTAAACCTGCTAAATCGTTCATGAGTTCAACAGCTGCATAGTTACAATGCCAATTATTATTATTATTATCATTATTATTATTATTATTATTATTATTATTATTATTATCCTTACATGTATGGAACTTAGTAAATATAAAGGAGAATATAAACAGATTGTAATAATCATCCCTTTTTTTGTTGTGTTGTGTTGTGCTGGTCTGCGGTTTCCTCATTTTTCAATGGTAACTAGCTACCATGGCTCAGTTTGATATAGTAATGATTAATAATGTGGCTAGTAGGGGGGGGCGGGGGTCCAGTATGTGGATTTCGTCCTACTCATCAGCTGGACATTATCTGCATCTCTCCAAAACCCATTAATGATTGCTTCAAATGTCAGAGCGTTATCCACTAGGCTATTAGTCTTAAAGTCTTATTGCGAACAATATTATTCAATGGAAGGTAATTTCATCCAGTTAATAAGTCAGTCACTAATATAGGCAATACTGAGGCGTCTGTGTTCGAGTCCATATGCCAATTCGGTCCAATCAAATGACGGGAGATTATAAGCAATTACACAATATGAATCATTTACCATGTCTTGTTGAAGTATCTAACAATGCTAATCACTAATGGGTTAGATAGCTAAATATCGATTTGTCTAAGTAACCCAATCCTACAGACGGGTTCGAACCATTGAAGATGTAGACACGCCTTGCTGATGAGAGTTCCAACAAATATGAAATCTAGGTTGATTAGTATTCCCTACCATTTCTGACTGTCAACAGATTACATAGAAATGCACTACTTCCTCACCCCCGTCGTCGCCTGTAATGTCTTATCAGTTAACTAGGCGTTAGATAGGTGTACTGGCTACCCCATAGGTGATTGATTCGTGTATGTCATATTGCTGACTGTTCATCTACATTTTTTTATCCTATTATTATTATTATTCAAGTGAGTTGGTTTACAAAAGGTAATTTATTGATGATGATGATGATGATGAAGCTTTGGTCAGATTTATGTATATGAGTGTATGAACGTTGCCAACCTCGCCTGATTAACTAGTTCACTAGTTACTAGCCGGTCCTAAGCCCGGGTAAACAGGGAAGGTTGGGCATAGGGCTACCAACCCTCCCCGTAAAACAAATCTAACCGCTAAAGAAACTTCAAAGCACAAACAAAATATAAAGAATAAAAACAAACTTATTCCAAGCTGGAATCGGAGAGGCGAAATGACGTCAGTTGGTGAAAGCCTGCCTTCGGGAAGCCAATTGACTGGCCGATGTGTTTTCTCTCCCCCGATGACAGCGAAAGTAAACGTGGGGACATGGAATGTCCGCACCATGTTTGAACCCAGCAAGGCAGCCCAGATTGAAAAGAGATGAGAAGGTACCGCATTGAAGTGCTTGGAATATGCGAAAGCAGGTGGGATGGGAGTGGAGTTTCCAAACTGTCAGCTGGAGAATCAATAATCTACTCCGGTCACCCAGACGACAGCCACGAGCACACTGAGTTCTGGAGTGGATATCATGATGTCCCCTTGAAGAGCATCGAAGGCTCACTCTCATGCAGTGGGAACCAATCTCCTCCTATAGGATCATGACAGCGAGGTTCAACTCAAAGGAAGGAAAGTCACAATCATACAATGCTACACTACGCACCTACAAATAATGCAGATGAAGAGAAGAAGGAAGAATTCTACAGACAACTCCAATCAACACTGGACAAGACCTCAGTTGGCGATATCAAAATTCTAATGGGTGACATGAATGCCAAACTGGGAGGGGACAACACAGGAAGAGAACTAACCATGGGTCGAGAGGCGCTAGGTGAAATGAATGAGAATGGAGAATTGTTTGCAGAATTCTCTTCATTCAACGATTTGGTGATTGGAGGTGAGGCAGTGTATTCAAGCACAAGGATATCCACAAAGTGACATGGATTTCACCAGATGGACACACTAAAAATCAGATCGACTTCATCTCAATGTGAAAAAAGTGGAGACGCAGTCAGCCTACTTGACACAAGGTGAAGAAGAGGAGCAGATGTAGGTTCACACCACTCACTATCTAGTGCAAGGAACCTTCCAAATCAAGTTAAAAGCCTTCAAGGAAGCTGGTGATAGACCACAGTTCAAGTACAACACTCGTAACGGAAACTGAAGGACGGAACTACAAAGCAAATCTTCACGTCAGCCATCAAGACAAAATGGGAGATATCGAGCACCATCCCTGAAGAAACCTGTGTGGAAGAACACTGGAAGTCTTTGAAGGCTATGTGGAAAGAAACCTGCACAACAGTATTAGGAAGGAAGAAGAAAGAAGACAAGGAATGGATCTCGATGGATACCTGGAAGCTGATAGAGGAGAGGAGGATGGTGAAGCAGAAGATAAACCAATGCAAGGATGCTCAACGACAAGAGGAACTGAGCACGATGTATAAAACACTGAACAAAGAAGTAAAGAAGAGTGCACGCAAAGACAAAAGACACTTCTATGAAACACTGGCAAGTGAAGCAGAACAGGCTGCAGGTAAGAGAGACCTGACGACATTGTATCAAATAACCAGGTTGCTATCTGGGAAGACATCAACACAGTTGAAACCAATAAAAGATGATGACGGAAATTTAATTACGAAAGAAGAGAAACAAAGGAAACGATGGGCCGACCACTTCAAGAAGCTCTTGAATCGACCACCACCACCACCTGCACTTCGTCCAGAAATACCACCTGCAGCCCAGCCGCTGAACTACAAGTGGACATAAATCCTCCAACGAAAATGTAAGTGCTGAACGCCATAAAAATGTTGAAATGTGGGAAAGCAGCGGGACCAGATGGGATCCCGCCAAAAGCACTGAGAGCAGACGCAGAGACAACAGCGGATATGCTCACACCGCTATTGCAGAAGGTGTGGAAGGAAGAGAAGGTACCTGGTGATTGGAAGAAGGGTTACCTTGTCAAACTGCCGAAGAAGGGAGACCTCAGTGTTTGCAAGAACTGGCGAGAAATCACTCTCCTGTCCACCCCGAACAAAATATTAAGCCGCATCATCCTGGAGAGGCTTAAAGATGCACTGGATTCAAAACTACGACTCGAACAGGCTGGCTGGATTCAGGAAGTACAAATCATGTGCCGACCAAATTGCAACGCTTCGCATAACCATAGAACAGAGCATAGAATGGCAATCAGCTCTCTACCTCAACTTTATCGACTTTGAAAAGGCCTTTGACAGCGTAGTCAGGCAATAATGATTGAATGTTTAGTGAAGTTCATTATCGCATACTTTATCCTGCAAAATGGTTGTTTCATCCGTATAAATTATGCTACGTTGTAGTCAAGTAATTTTGTTGGGTTGGTGTTGAAAATCCGGATCTTGTTCCACATGCTGAGTGCAGAAGATCTCCACACTGGTTTCAGGCTAATGAACCCCTGTCTTGCTTTTCCAATTCTGACTTTGAAATCCTCGTCTGTGCCTGTGCTGCCTGTAGTTGAAACAGTGTTTCCTAGATAGGTGAAGGAGGTTACTTCCTTTAAGTTTCTCTCGTTCATGGTGACTGGAGTTTGTTGTTGTTGGTGGTGGTGGTGCGGTATCTTCACCACCTCTGTCTTCTCTATATTCACCTGAAGTCCCGTCTTTGCTGCCTCTTCTGCCAACTTGTTAGTTTTCGCCTGTAGATCTTCAAGTTTATGTGACATCAGATACAAGTCATCGGCGAAATCCAGATCTTCTAGGTTCTTTTCCGCTATCCAGCCAGCGTATCTCCCTCTTCTCACAGCTCCCACTGTTTGCTGCATAATCCAGTCGACCACAATCAGGAATATCATGGGTGATAGTAGGCAACCTTGTTTCACTCCTGTCTTCACTTCAAAAGCATCACTGAGCTCCTCATTGTGAATTACTTGGCATGTGGCATCTTCATATAGTTGTTGAATGAGGTTGATAAAGGTTCGCGGTACTCCGTAGTATTGAAGCAGTTTCCAAATTACTTCTCGGTTGACGTTGTCAAAGGCCTTCTCAAAGTCGATAAAGTTGAGGTAGAGTGAGAGTTGACTGCCATTCTATACTCTGTTCTATGATGATGCGTATTACCAACAAAATTACTTGACTACAACGTAGCATAATTTATACAGATGAAACAACCATTCTGAAGGATAAAGTATGCGGTAATGAACTTCACTAAACATTCAATCATTATTGCCTGACTATAAGATATACAGAAATGAGTAAGGAATTGATAAAAGGCTCTTCAACTTATATATACAACAAGAAGGTTACTGATTAAGTAATAAGTAGATTGGTGTTTAACAATAAATTAGATAATACATGACCAGTGACATTTATCTGACATCTTAGATTTCCAATTTTTGATTGATACAACAAAATTATGTTAACTTAGACAATGAGTATATAAAATGAGAGAAAATTAGTATGATATTCAAAGTATATCAGTGTTACCTTGATCAATTCTTAACCATGTTTTCAACAGTCAGGTCCTAACAACTAGAAGATACTAACTGAACAAATCACATCAACAGTCGAGGGCAGCCACTTGTATGATCCCTGAGATGGCCAGCTTTACCTATAAAGATCGACTTAAGGAGCTGAATCTCTTCACTTTGTCCTACCTCAGACAGACAGGAGACCTAATCATACTATACAGGATTCTAAGAAATGACTTTTGATCTGATCTGTCTTCTCTTTTCCTTCCCACCAGATCGGAACACCTCAGAGGACATAATAGGCGACTACAAAAGCAAAGAACGAACATAGTCTCCTTAGAGTACTGGTTCTCACATCGAGTAATCAATACCTGGAACCGACTCCCAGAAGAAGTGATGTCTGTATCATCAATTGACTCGTTCAAAAGGGGATTGGACAAGCACAGAAATCTACTGAGCAAGGATTAATATAGGCTCCTATCCTCAAACAACAAATCTGAATCTTGAATGCATTGTCTCAGTGTTGTCATGCAGTCTAGTCGCCTTGTACTTTTATTTCAGCCTAGATTCACTTTGGATAACACTTCACCTAAAGCAAAGTAGAAGTCTATAATTACTTCT